TAACCTATGCTTAGAAGGCTGATCCCGCGGTAGTTGGCGCGAATGGCGGGGTCACCTTTCTTGTGGATTGGGCAGAGCACACTTAAATTCCAGTCGTCGGGCATGCGTTCATCTGACCATATTCTGCACAAGAGTTGATGCATGCACCTTATCAACTCCTCGCCGCCGTACTTGAATAGCTCAGCTGGCAGGCTGTCAGCTCCAGCGGCTTTGTTGTTTTTCAGCCGCGTTATTGCTATACGTACCTCGTCATAGTCAGGCGGTGGAACGTCGACTCCGTCATCATCGACTGCGGGCTCGGGTTCTTCTTCTCCACAACTTTCCGTGCTGCTACCATTTAGTAGGGCGGAAAAGTGTTCCCTCCATAATTTAAGTACGCTCTGGACATCAGTTACTAGGTCGCCATTATTGTTCTTACAGGAGTGCGCCCCGGTCTTTAAACCTTCCGTAAGTCGCCTAACTCTCTGGTAAAATTTTCGGGCATTCCTCCTGTCGGCCAGCATTTCAAGCTCTTCGCACTCACGTATTTCGGCCTCTCTCTTCTTGTTGCGGCAAATACGTCTCGCTTCCCTCTTCAGATCCCTATAGCGGTCCCACATAGCGCGCGTTGCGCCCGATCGCAGCGTGGCCCTGTAGGCGGCATCTTTTTTCTCTGCAGCTTCCTGACACTCCTCATCGTACCAGTTGTTCTTTCGGGCTCGCTGAAATCCGACTACTTCTTCGGCGGCGGTACTTAATGAGCGGGAAATGTGGTTCCACTGCTCGCATATGTCGGTTTGTTGAAGAGTGCTCTCTGAGAGCAGGTGTGAGAGTCGAGTAGCGAAAGCGCTGGCTGTCTGTTGTGATTGCAGCTTTTCGACGTTAAGCTTTCCTTGCATATTTGGGCGCACATTTTTTGCTGCACAGAGGCGGGTGCGTATCTTGGCTGCAACAAGATAGTGGTCCGAGTCGATGTTTGGGCCTCGGAGTGTGCGTACGTCTAAAACACTGGAAGCGTGCCTTCCGTCTATCACAAGATGATCGATTTGGTTTCTCGTTTTTCGATCCGGAGACAGCCAGGTAGCTTGATGGATCTTTTTATGCTTGAACCTAGTACTGCATACTACCATGTTTCGGGCCCCGGCGAAGTCGATCAGCCTCAATCCGTTGTCGGACGTTTCGTCGTGGAGGCTGAATTTTCCGACGGTGGTTCCAAAGATCCCTTCCTTGCCCACCCTGGCATTGAAGTCGCCAAGCACGATTTTGATATCATGACGGGGGCAGCGCTCGTACGTGCGCTCCAAGCGCTCATAGAAGAGATCCTTGGATGCCTCATCCTTCTCTTCCGTCGGGGCATGGGCGCAGATGAGCGAGAAGAAGAGGGGGCAACACCTTTTGCCAGAACACCTTTTGCGTTGGCGGCTTTCGGACGCACTAAGGGATTATAACCCTTACTAAGGATTATAACCCTTACTAAGAAAAATGTTTTGCGCAAAAATACTGTGGATAGCGTAGCTGGCATTGGTCAGGCCAGAGTTATTTTTTTAAATACTCCGACTTGCGAGGATTAAACACAACATGTTGTATATCAAACGAAAGCTTGATTTGTGCACTATTTACTAATGAGACTTTTAACTGTAATTAATACGCCACTTTTTAAAGAAAAATTTATTTGTTTAAAATTGTTTGTATTTTTTTACATAAATTGCATTTTTGCTAAAATGTAAGAAGTTATATATAATATTTTTATATGTAATTAAAGCCACTCACATTTCCTATTTAATGTCATCATTTAGAATCCGTGCGATGGTTTTCGAGATATATGGGTTTGAAAAAAGCGCCACATTTGACCTTTGACCTTTCATAACTACTTTAGTTGTCGTTACCAATCCCATCTTATAAATAAAAAATAAGTGCAAGATCTCAACCAAATTTATACGGCATAGTCGGCCTATTATGCAGATGGTTTGTGTTAAGTTTCCCCGAATTCGGAAAAGGGGGCGTGGCACCACCTATACTAACTGTTTACCTTTGGGGTTTGAATCCGACTGTGCAGAGCGCACAAAGAAAAAGATTGAGGGATTTGTTTAGTACAAATTCAAATATAAATTCTGGTTTATTAGTTCCCTGTGATTACACGGTAGAGTTCAATTGATATACATCTATGGAGATGCACGAGTTTAGGCGAATTTGATATGGTGATGTTGTCGCTTGGGCGGTTGTTGAGCAATTAAAATACTAAATCGGTCGTGGGCGGATCGGGCAAGGCGCGCGTTGCCAACTACTCTGGTACCCGCCTGGCCAGATGAAATTAAAATGGGCACGAATCAAAAGGTTAAGGGCTCATGTCTCCAACATGGCGCCCCGCCTGCCTTGGTGCCAAGTGCAGCAGCTCCTTTTCCAGTTTGTCCATGATGTCTCGGGCTTCGGCAATCAGTCGCCGCAACCTCCGAGCCCTTTGCTGAGCAGAACGGCTGTGCAGCTCGGCTCTAACACTTCCCTTCTTCTGGCGCGTGGTGCTCCGCTTCTCTCGATGAAGTAGGGTGTGGTGCCCTAAGCCACATCGATGACAGCTTTCGTCCGAGTCGCAGGCTCCGGTGGAGTGTGAAGTCGCCAAGCAATTCACGCAATATTTGTGCAAGCGTGCACACTCATAGCGGTCGTGGGCGTCCATAGCGCGGAATGCGGTACACAAGCGCAGCGCGTGGAGTCGGCCACACAGTCGGCACTTGGGGGAGTCCTTTCGTGATCTGTAAATATACGTATTGAGGAGAGACTTTAGTACTATGTCAGCGTATATTGTGAGGCTTTGTAATGAGTAGAAGTACATATACGCATGGGTTATATATTCTACGGGTAGAACAATGGGAGTTGGGTAGGATAGGTAGCATAAATTTAATTAGAGTATTATGTCGGGTTTGGTGAGTATCCTAACGTTAGGCAGGGGGGAGCACGCACAATTTATGTATGTTTCGAGTTATGATTCCCTGCTGGGTTTTTATATCTACAACCCGAATGTTTTCATTGGGGCCGGGATGCAAGTGTGTGATGCGACCCAGTCGCCACCCGGTCGGAGGCAGCCAGTCATCTTTAACAACAACCAAATCTCCTTCTTGTTGTAAGTCGTGTAGATACTCGTTCTTCCATCGTACGCTGAACTGATGATGAAGAACCTTAAGTCTCTGCCACTTATTTATGAGTGAAAATTCTTTGGCATCCGGTTCCGGTGGTGAGACAATGGTAGCTCCTCGTATAAAATGCCCGGGAGTAAGTGCCAATAAATCTTGCGGGTCCTGTCTCATGGGAGAGAGAGGTCTGGAGTTTAGAACCGCTTCAATTCGAACTAATAGGGTTGCGAACTCTTAGAAAGAGAATTTTTGATTTCCGGCAACTTTGGTGAAATGCGTTCTAAAACTTTTAACGGCCGCCTCCCAAAGGCCACCCATATGAGGGGCATATGGTGGGATGAAGTGCCAGGAGAATCCATGCAACGCACATGTTTCTGCGAAATCAGAGGCCGCTTCCTTTAAGAAAAGAGCGAAGTCCTTTTTTAGGGCTCGCTGTGCTCCCACAAACGTCTTTCCGTTGTCCGATAAAATCTTGTGGGGCAGGCCACGACGGCCAGTGAATCGGGTAAAAGCCGCTTTGAACGCTTCCGTAGTCAAGTCGGAGCACAATTCTAAATGAATGGCCTTGGTAGAAAAACACACAAAAACACATACATATGCCTTTGTGTACGACGCTTTTCGAAGCGGTGACGTTTTGATAAGGAATGGGCCTGCGAAGTCAACGCCAGTAGTGTGAAACGGGAGAGTGAAGGTGGTTCTTTCAGGGGGTAATGCTGCCATTATTTGGGATTTCATCCGCTGTTTGTATATTGTGCATGGTTTGCAGTGAAAAATGCATTTTTGACCTTCTGCTTCAGGCGTGGGATGAAGTATTCCTGTTGTATCATCCGGATCATGAGTTGTTTCTCAGCATGAAGCAATGTTGTGTGTAGAAAATCTAGGAGAAGAGAGCAAAATATGGAGTTATCGGGTATTATTATAGGATGCCTCTCATTGTAGCTTAGTGCGGCATATTTAAGGCGTCCATTTACACGCATTAGGCCTGCATTGTCGAGCATCGGATTTAGGGTGAGCAGAGGGCTCTTCTTGCTGAGTGGCTTCGAGGACTCAAGTAACGATATCGCTTCTCCGTAATGATTTCGTTGCGTTTTAGCTATCAGCTTGTACTTCACTTGATTGAGTTCCTCCTGGGATAATATAAGCACGTTGGAGATGGGTAGCCCTTTGGTATGGTTTATGAAACGATACATATACGCAATGACTCTGAGTGCGCGTGGGAAAGAAGAGAATCTTTCGAGTATATTCGTGCTGTCTAGGGTATGAAAAATTTCGATTCGTCTCTCCTCTGGAGGGTTAATAGTTGAAGCTCTGGTGTTAGACGGCCAGTGTGTGTGGGCCTTGCATAGCCAGGCTGGACCTTTCCACCAGAGAGTGCTTGCGGCAAGATCTTGAGGTTTGCACCCCCGGGTGCCTAAATTGGCAGGGTTATCGTGACTGGGAACGTGGCGCCAAGGGGCATTATTTACATTTTCCACAATTTGGGAAGTTCTGTTAGCCACATATGTTTTCCACGTATGTGGAGGCTTCTCCATTCAGGCCAGCACGATCGCGGAATCTGTCCAAAGGATTAACTCATGAGAGGGCAGATTGAGTTCGGATCGGATTTGCTTACTCAGTTTTGAGAGTAAAACCGCTCCGCAGAGTTCCAAGCGGGGCAGACTTACGGTCTGAAGGGGTGCAACCTTGCTTTTTGCGGCAAGTAGTGAGGACGCGAACGAGTTTTCGCCGAGTTGGACTCTTATGTAGACGCAGGCACAGAATGCCTTTTCGGAGGCGTCCGAAAATCCATGCAATTCAATGTACTGCTTTGGCGTGAACTGCACCCACCTGGGTATTTTTATGTCTTCTATTGCTGGAAGGCTTTCTCGGAATGAGTTCCATTTTGTTGGAGAGCCTGGTTTTACCGCTTCATCCCACCCGGTCCCTTCCATCCAGAGTTGTTGGAGGAGGATTTTCGCCATGACCATTATTGGCGATAGCCATCCTGCCGGGTCGAACAGTTTCGCTACCGCTGACGGAATTTGTCTCTTAGTTTTTGCGTTCTCAGCAGGAATGGGGTCATAAGAGTAGGAAAAGGTGTCAGTCAGAGCGTTCCATTGTATTCCTAGGGTTTTTGTAGAACTTGCGTCTTGAAACTTTAAGAAATCTACGTATAACAGAGCAGAATCGGGGACTGATTTAAGTAAGCTGGGGTGATTTGCTGTAATTTTCCGTAAAGGAAATCCTGCTGACCTTAAAGCATCCATCACTTGTGACATCGATTTAAAAGTGGACTGTATATCGTGGCCCCCCGACAGTATGTCGTCTACGTAGGTTTCTCGTAGTAAAATATTATGGGCGAGAGGAAATGAGCTCTTTGAGTCTTCTGCTAACTGATGGAGAGTCCTAATTGCTAAATAAGGGGCGCAGTTAACTCCACAGGTGACTTTCTTGAGTTTAAAGTCTTGAATCGGCGAGCTCGGGGTTCTTCGAAATAGAATTCGTTGAAAATCTTGGTCTTCTTCGTCAACGAGTATTTGGCGGTACATTTTCTCAATGTCACCGTTAAAAATAAACTTATAGAGTCGCCAATTTAATATCACTACCATTAAGTCGTTCTGAACTTCGGGGCCTGTGTGTAGCACATCATTTAAAGAGTGACCAGAATGGGACATTTTGGAGGCATTGAATACAACGCGAACTTTTGTGGTCTTGCTGTCGGGTTTTAAGACAGCATGATGGGGGAGATAAAACGAGAAATACTTTCCTTCTCTAATTATTTCAGTGGCTGAGGAAGGTGTCATATGGTCTAGTGTTACGTACTCCTCTAGCATTTCGTTATATTTGTCGCGCAGTTCTGGCTTTCGTTGCAGCGTACTCTCTACGCTTAAGTACTGCTGTTGTGCTACCGGACGAGAATGGCCAAGTGCTGTTGTGGTAGGAAATTCTTGCTTGAAAGGTAGTTTTACAACGTATCTTCCATTTTCTTGTCGGGTTGTGGTCGCTACATACCGGTTCTCGCAGTATTCATCCTCCCTTGAACGGGTTTTGGTAGGGTATGCTTCCTCCTGCTCCCAGAATTTCATCAATAGCGTATTGAGAGCATCGTTCGAGGGTTCCATGACTTGGGTCGTGAATGACGTCACCTTTTCAGCTATTGGTCCGCTAATTATCCATCCGAATATCGTGTTCTGCGCCAGGAGTGTGCCGTCTGCAACATGATATAGTCCTTGTGTGAGAACTTGGGGTATAACGTCGCTCCCAATGACCATATAGATTCGAGATGGAGTAAAACCATTAGGGTCTGCTAAAGTTAAAGTCGCTAATTCTGGAAGGTTTACGTATGACACCTTGAGACTGGGTAGAAAATGGGTCAGGTGGGGTAAAATAATTGCCTGGGTTTGAATTTTTTGCTTTAAGTCCGCAGAACAAAGGGTTAACTCGCAAACATTTTTCGAGTTTTGGACCACTAGCCCTCCCATTCCCGATATTTCATAATGGGTTTCTTTGGTGGGTAAATTTAATATTTTTTGGATCCGAGACGTGACAAAGGTTTTTTGTGAGCCTTGGTCTATCATTGCTCGGATCTGGTGATATTCTCCCGCGAAGTAAATTGGTACCATGGCTGTGGGTAATAGGGTGGTTCCTTTGCTGCACGACAAGTTGGTTGAAACTTTGTTGACTGCTTTTTTGTGGTTTGGTGGGGTGTGAACGATTCCTGTTGACGTGGAGGGCATGTCGTCCGCTATTTCCACTGTGGTTGTTGCCTGCGTCGTCGATGATTGGGGTTTTGAGTTAGTTTTCGAGTTTTGCTGGTTTGCTTGAAAATGGAGTAATGAGTGATGACGTTGTTGGCAGTATACACAGGTAAATTTGCTCTGACATTGACCTTTTAAGTGTGAACAAGAGAGGCAGTTTTCACAATACTTGTGCTCACGTACGAATTTGAGACGATCAGGTACAGAGAGATTCTTGAATCTAACGCAAAGTTTCATTGCGTGATTGGAGTTGCACAGCTTGCATGAAACTGGTTTCCCGGAATCTACGTGGAAGTTTTGGGTGCGATTTTTATTAATAAATGTGGAGCTGTGACTGCCAGCTCTAGGGTTGAAGGGGGTAAACTGTGGTTTGGGTTTAGTCGGTCGATACGTACCAAGCCGTTCAACCACTTCGTACCTGCAAGTGAGGAATTTGTTCATCTCTGACCATAGTGGCAACTCTTTCCGAGAGCTGAGTGATTGCTCCCACAGGGAAAGTGTCTCACTTGGTAGTTTCGATGAACACAAGTACACAAGAATGGGATCCCAGTCCTTCGTAGAAATTTTTTGTGATGCAAGAGTGGAGAGGCAATTATTAATTGTTGTTTGTAGCTTTTGTAATTGCTCGCCACTTTCTCCGTAAACGAGCTGCAAATTTAGTAGGGTTTTGAGTTGGTTATCCACTAGAATTCTTGGGTTTTCGTAACGTGATTTTAAAGCTTCCCATGCAAGCGCAAAGTTTTCGTCGGTAGGAGGGTATTGTTTTACAATAAGTCCTGCTTGTCCCTTTGTCTTATATCGCAAATGGTACAACTTTTGAGCGGGGGTTAATTTGGGGTGTTTTATATAGACTGCCGTAAACATGTCTCTAAACGCCGGCCAGTTTTCGTAGCCACCGTGGAATACTTCTGTGTCGCACGGTGGTACCTTGAGATAAACCTCGTTGGAGGCAGAAGGGTTTGGGGTAAAAGTCGTATTGAATGTTTGCTGGGTAGTTTGAGGGGTCGTATTAACTCTAAAAAGTTGCAATGCTTCCAACATTTGGGACTTGCAGGTTTGGTAGCTCTCCGAGCATTTGCAGTATTTTTGTTCTACTGAGCCACTGACTTCTGGGTGATCATCGTCCATGAATATTGCTTCGTAAGCTTTTAAAAGGCTGTCCCAGTTGTTGTCCAGTTGTTGGATTTCGACCTCAAGTAAGGTTTCGGTTTGGTCAGTGGCTAAGGACGGTGACCATTTTGAACAAAAAATCTTCAGCCTATTGCTTTCGAAAATAAATTTTTGGAGACAGTAATTTTTTTTCGTTTTTTCAGTTGGGGTATCCTTAACTTGCGGCATTTTGTTGGGCGAAATTTTATTAAATGGGTAGAGTAAGAGTTTATTATTTAAACCAAAATATTTTAGGGGTGGGTCTGAGTCGATATTCTATGGTTTAAGACGGTGCCTATACTTAGCTTTAATTTCGCTTTCTTTATGGGGTTGGGTTTTTTGTAAAAATCGTTCAGTTTTGTACCACTGTACTCAAGTGCGATATTTTGTCAGCTCCGGCCCACTGTGCCAATAAGCTCCGCCTTTTTGTTTATTTTATTTAAAATTGAGTGGAATTAATATTGAGTGTATGCGTATATTAGAGTGTGAGCAAGTTGCCGGTACACTCAATATGAAAAGACGGCTGGATTAAAGGGTCAGAAACATATATTAATGTACATGTTGTGAGTTAAATATGCGAATTAGGATATAACAATGATTGGGAGATTAGCGTATACGATTATATACAGCTGCAACGCGGTACAGTCGCGCTCGACTATTCTTTCGCTATTTTATTTTGAGCCGTCGTAGCTATGTACTAGTATGTTTGTATATAGGTTCACTATACGTAATTGTAATTATGGTAAAAGTATTATTATTGTTTTTTTTTTATAAATATATATATTGGCCTTAATCCGCTTCTTTGCGTTTTTATTTGATTTATTGGGTGATGTGGGTGTTAATTTTGGGTTGAATTACTTGATTTTCGTACCACTGTACTCTAGTGCAAGTTATGGTCAGCAGCGGCCCACTGTACAAATAAACTCCGCCCTTTTTATTTTTATTTGATTGTTAAGTGCAATTGATATTGCGCTTAAGAGTCTGTACGAGTTACAGGGACATTGCTATAGAGCGAGAATAGAGAAAATAGGCAATTAAGTATGTGAATATGTTTGCTAACGCTGCGATTTTGCTAGCTTCAGAACAATGAGTTAAAACGTCCTCAGAAACAGTGAGTGGGAGTTGTATGCATGTACATATGTATGTACACATGAAAAACAGTTACGCTCAAATATTTTTCGCTGGTTTTGGTTACCGCCTGATATATTTGCCTACATACATATGTAAATTAAAATATCTATATGTAAGTAACTATGTACAAATTTATGTCGTGAATATGAGAATCTGCTGTAATTTCGGCAGAGCTGGGTGCAAATAACAGGACTTTTACCGTACGACTTTCGCAAAGTCAATAGGGCTATTCGCGGTTCGGTGCATAAGAGCTGACAAATTTATGCAATTGCAGAAATATGCTACGGATTGTGAGCGACCTTTATTAAACTGTCATGGTAAAGCTTTTGCAAAACAATTTTTGTGCATCAGCTTTAGTTTTCTTTATGAATGCAATGCATAGCATTTTTATGCTATGGATTTTCGGTATTGCAAATTTGCCAAGCCATGACAAATGCAAATGCGTGTATTTTGTTTGTGTATTGCAAATAATTTGCTATACAAATTTGCAATGCAATGATGCTAGGCCATTTGCACCGGATCGCGAATAGCCCTAATGATGCTAGCTAATTTGCTGTTACTATGTGCATACATACATATGTACATATAAACATATATACACATATATGTATATGCATAAGTTTTAAATTCAACAAGGCGCAACTGGAATTTTCGAGATTAATGGGGTATTTGAAAAAACTTGTCTCTTTTCGAAGTAACGGGGGTTGGAAATCTATGCCTCCTTTTAATTTTTTGGTNAATTCAACAAGGCGCAACTGGAATTTTCGAGATTAACGGGGTGTTTGAAAAAACTTGTATTTTTTCGAAGTAACGGGGGTTGGAAAACTAGGTCTCCTTTTATTTTCGTATAATTACCGGGCTACCGCAATATATTTATATACATATACACATGAAATATATGGACTTACTCAGCCATGGGTGCTTTTACTTAGCCGGTTTGATTAATTTTTCCGTTCCGCCTCTTCGGGTAGGGGTTCAGTCCGATTTATAGTGAAAATATTGGTAGTGCTGGGGTCGCACCGCTTACGCCTTTGATGCTCCAGTAGGGCATTTGCACCGCTTCTCCGTTAAGTGCAGGTATACTGCTGGCGGTCGCAACGCTTGAAAAATGTGTTGTTGATGCAGGTCTGCTGCTCGCAACGTTTAAAAATTTGTTGCTGTTGCAGGTATACTGCTCGCAACGATTAAAATTTTGTTGCAGTTGCAGGTATACTGCTCGCAACGTTTAAAAATTTGTTGCTGTTGCAGGTATACTGCTCGCAATGATTAAAATTTTGTTGCTGTTGCAGGTATACTGTGAGCAACAATTGTATCTTTTTAAATTTTTTATTTTTAATTTGCACAATTGTCAAACTTTTTCTCTTTCCCACAAGAGCACTATTTGATTCTAAATCTTTGTCGTTTTCGTTTGATTGTTTTAATTTACCAACTTTTACCTTGGTACCGCAAGATAAATATGTTGTTGCTGCAGGTATGCTGCTCGCAACTTTTAAAATATTGTTTTTAACAAATTGGTGCTCGTCTTTAATTTTTGTTATTTGTGTCGTTTGTTTGTTTGATTTAACTTTTTCACTCGCGTTTAATTGTTTCTTTTTCGCAAATTAAATGTCTCCTTTTTTTATGATTTCCCCGATTGTTTTTTTTTTTCGCTCACTGACCTTTCTTCCGTCCGCGCTTTGTGGTTTCTCGCTCGCTACTGACTTGAGTGAATTTTGTAATATGCCCAAGNTGTGTCGTTTGTTTGTTTGATTTAACTTTTTCACTCGCGTTTAATTGTTTCTTTTTCGCAAATTAAATGTCTCCTTTTTTTATGATTTCCCCGATTGTTTTTTTTTTCGCTCACTGACCTTTCTTCCGTCCGCGCTTTGTGGTTTCTCGCTCGCTACTGACTTGAGTGAATTTTGTAATATGCCCAAGAGGCCAAGAATGATAGAATACAAGATTGCGCCGATCAGAGAGGATTTTTGAGAATAACTTTTGTGTGACGTCACACTGGTGCAATTGCGAGAGAGAAATGCCAAAACGTGAGCAAGAATGGAAGAAGAAGAAAAAATGTTGCAAGGAAAACGTAAACAAGTTGCACAAGTGTGACGTCATGCAAACAACGATTCTGTCAAATTCGTTAAGAGAGGAATAGCGGTCCGAGATCGGCGCAACCTTTGTATTCTCTCAATCGTGCCAAGAGGCCGCCCAGAGCTGTGTTTCTTTATTGTTGGAGATTTTTGAGGTGCCACTTCGTTTCTAAACGCCTCAAAAGGACCATGTTTACCTTTGGGGTTTGAATCCGACTGTGCAGAGCGCACAAAGAAAAAGATTGAGGGGTTTGTTTAGTACAAATTCAAATATAAATTCAGGTTTATTAGTTTCCTGTGATTACACGGTAGAGTTCAATTGATATACATCTATGGAGATGCACGAGTTTAGGCGAATTTGATATGGGATGTTGTCGCTTGGGCGGCTGTTGAGCAATTAAAATACTAAATCGGTGGTGGGCGGATCGGGCAAGGCGCGCGTTGCCAACTACTCTGGTACCCGCCTGGCCAGATGAAATTAAAATGGGCACGAATCAAAAGGTTAAGGGCTAACAAAAATTTTCATCTGGTATATCTCTTGATATATTTATGGTAGATTACTGGAAATTGGTATAGAGACATATGAAATAATTCCATACTCGTGGAGCAAAAATTGTGCGGTATTGGAAAAGGGGGCGTGGTAACTCCCATCTTAACTAAAAAAATTAGAGCACGAATTCTACCAAATTTAAATGGTATATTCGGACTATCATGCAGATAGGTTATGTGAAGTGTGCCCGAATTCGGTCAAGCGGTTCATGATATATGACACTTTATGTCTGTCACATGAACCACGTATATGGTACAACAGCAGATATAGGAAAAATCGAAAACATAGTGAAAAATTATTGCTATGATGTGCTGTGTTTATTTTTTCTCGGATAAGTTAAGTCAAGTAAAAACATGGCTGCAATATAGTAAAAAAAAATTCATATAGAAAAATTCCATAATTTTTCAATATTTGGTGTAGAGAAGCACAACGGGGTTCCGCTAATATTATATAATATTCACAAGATTGTTGTTCGGGATTTTCAACACAGAAATATCGCAATTAAATAAACAATTTTGTGCAAATGCTTCACTTAATACATCACAAATATGCAAAAGGTAACAAATACTTGTTAAGCTGTGTTTATTTACTCCAAAAGAAAGTGCGAATAGTGTAAGTGAATTATAAAATTGTACCTTATTTACGGAAACTTTACCTAAAAGTAGATAGATGTAGATAGATGTACCTAAAAAGTAAATATGTATTTATATACAAAGAAAAATAGGAGGTAACAATTCCCATCGATGCCATATCAACTTCTGCACTCACATTAAACAAATTTTTGATTTCTGATTTCCTGAGAAGCTATTTGGCTACGTTCCAAATGTACCTAAAACTGTGTGTTTGTACCGAATGTACTTTCCAACTAAATAAAGGCACGATTGTAACAACTTTTCCATCACTGTAGGTAATCCAACAGCTGATTTCGTATCGCTAATTGTGCAGCTGACGTGTGTGTGAACACCAAACTCAATACCGCAATTTAAAGCTTACTTCCCCAAGCTAATTGGCCTGTTTGAACATAGTCTTAGCATGTGTATTTCAGCAGAAAATTTTCAATTTCAATAGAAGTACCCTGTGTTTACTTGCTATTGTAAATGGTTGCATACATTTAGGCATATGCACCGTAAGAGGAAATGCGGAACAACTGACTATTACTTCCAATTATGCAAACCCCGCAAATGCATACGGCTTTGTACGTACATACGTATGTATGAACTCATTTGTCATTATAAACAATCTATGAAATTGAAAATGAAAAGCGTGG